AACTAAGGCCCAGTTAGAATTAAACTTGGCTAGGGATATTAAGGATAACAGGAAGGGATTCTACGGGTATGTAGCAAATAAAAAACAGACTAGGGACAATGTAGGCCCCCTCAGGAAGCTCTCGGGAGAACTGGCTACACAGGATTTGGAGAAGGCTGAGGTTCTGAATGACTTCTTTGCCTCCCTCTTCACTAGCAAAGGCTCTGACCAAACCACCCAAGACTCGGAAGGCAGATGCAGGGACTGTGAGAATGAAGACCTTGTGCCCACTGTAGGAGAGGATCTGGTTCGAGACCATCTTAAAAATCTGAATATGCACAAGTGCATGGGACCTGATGAAATCCATCCGTGGGTCCTGAAGGAGCTGGCAAATGAAGTTGCGAAGCCGCTGGCCATCATATTTGAGAAATCATGGCAGTCAGGTGAAGTTCCCAATGACTGGAAAAAGGGAAATTGTCCTGGGTTCAGCAGTAGCAGTCATGTTTCTCCTCCTTGGTAGTTGGTGCAGTGCAGTGTTTTGACTTTCGGCTCGGGAACAGAGCTGATAGAGATGTTTTGGTTTGGCCAAGGACCTTGTGAGCCTCATGCTCTGCCAGGGAGGAGGGGAAGCCGGCAGGAAGCAGAGACAGGACACCTGACCCAAACTGACCAAAGAGGTATTCCATACCACAGCACGTCATGCCCAGGATGTAACTGGGAGTTAGCCGGAAGGGCTGGGAGACTGCAGGGTTGGAGGAGGTATCGGTCGGAGCTTGGTCGGGCTTGGGGGGCGAGTTATCGGTCAGCGGGTGGTGAGGTGTTGTATTCTGTTCCCTTGTTATTTCCTTTATCATTATTATCATTGGTGGTAGCAGTAGTGATTTGTGTTATACCTTAGTTACTAAACTGTTCTTATCTCAACCCGTGGGAGTTGCATTCTTTTGATTCTCCTCTCCGTCCCTCCGAGAGCAGGGGGAGGGCAAGAAAGGGGGGAAAGTGAGCGAACGAATTACCTGACTGGGTTTAAACCACGACAGAAATATAACCCCCATTTTCAAGAAGGGGAAAAAGGATGACCCGGGGAATTACAGACCAGTCAGTCTCACCTCTGTGCCTGGCAAAATCTTGGAGCAGATTCTCCTGGATGGCATGCTAAGGCACATGAAAATCAACAAGGTGCTTGGTGACAGCCAGCATGGCTTCACTGAGAGGAAATCCTGCCTGACCAATTTGGTGGCCTTCTATGATGGGGCTACGGAGCTGATGGACAGGGGTAGAGCAGTTGATGTCATCTACCTGGACTTGTGTAAAGCGTTCGACACTGCCCCACACGACATCCTTGTCTCTAAATTGGAGAGACATCAATTTGATGGATGGACCACTCGGTGGATAAAGAACTGGCTGGATGGCCGCACACAAAGAGTTGTGGTCAATAGCTCAATGTCCAGCTGGAGACCAGTAACGAGTGGTGTCCCTCAGGGATCGGTGTTGGGACCGGTCTTGTTCAACATCTTCGTCGCTGACGTGGACAGTGGGATTGAGTGCGCCCTCAGCAAGTTTGCCAATGACACCAAGCTGTGTGGTTCAGTTGATACGCTGGAGGGAAGGAATGCCATCCAGAGGGACCTTGACACGCTTGTGAGGTGGGCTGATGCCAACCTCATGAGGTTTAACCATGACAAGTGCAAGGTCCTACACCTGGGTTGGAGCAATCCCAGGCACAGCTACAGGATGGGCAGAGAAGAGATTCAGAGCAGCCCTGCAGAGAAGGACTTGGGGGTGTTGGTCGATGAGAAAATGAGCATGAGCCGGCTTCAGTGTGCGCTTGCAGCCCAGAAAGCCAACCGTATCCTGGGCTGCATCAAAAGGAGCGTGACCAGCAGGTTGAAGGAGGTGATCCTGCCCCTCTACTCTGCTCTTGTGAGACCTCACTTGGAGTATTGTGTGCAGTTCTGGTGTCCTCAACACAAAAAGGACATGGAACTGTTGGAACAAGTCCAGAGGTGGGCTATGAGTATAATCAGGGGACTGGAGCACCTCCCATATGAAGACAGGCAGAGGAAGTTGGGGCTGTTCAGCCTGGAGAAGAGAAGGCTGTGTGGAGACCTCATAGCAGCCTTCCAGTATCTGAAGGGGGCCTATAGGGATGCTGGGGAGGGACTCTTCATTAGGGAAGGGGTACTCTTCAAGGGGTAACAGGTTAAAACTTAAACGGGAAGTTTAGATTAGCTATAAAGAGGAAGTTGTTTACTGTAAGGGTGGTGAGGCACTGGAATAGGTTGCCCAGGGAGGTTGTGAATGCTCCATCCCTGGCAGTGTTCAAGAGCAGGTTGGACGAGGCCTTGGGTGATATGATTTAGTGTGAGGTGTCCCTGCCCATGGCAGGGGGTTTGGAACTTGATGATCTTAAGGTCCTTTCCAGCCCTAACTATTCTATGATTCTAATCCTAGCTACATTCTCTAAACTTACATTCTGTATGATTGAAAGTGTACACAGAAAAGAAGCTGTATGAAGGAAATGTGTGTGGAAGGAGAGCGAGCTGAAATTCAGAGGGATTATATGTATTATTCTGTGTAATGGTGAGTAAGAGGAGACCAGGTATCAAGTTAAACATGAGATATTAAAACTGAGGACCTAAGTTTCATTTTTATTCTGACTGTTGTTCATGAGATCAGTGTCAGAAAGGGGTATAGTTTGGGCTGTTTAATTGTAGGTTGTCAATCAACTCAGAAGCTGTCAGAGTTAATTTTAGGAGTTTTTTAGGCTTGAGTGGATGAATCTCAGTGAAATGTGAAAAGTAAGTAGTGGGGACTGTGGATTTCATGATCATTTCAAGTATTTGTTAAGATCTGTGGTCACTCTTTTTCATCAGATTGCGGAACCTTTTGTCTCCTTCCTCTTAGTAGTGCCTGAAATGTAATACTAGCCTCTTTGTATACAAGAATTGAGACACCGTCTGGTACTTGGAGAGAGGTAATCCCAATGTACCAGGTTTTCCACTTGAAGGTTATCCTGACTATACCATGTCAGCCTGAGGAGTAATCACTCCAGATGATAGAAAGACTCCAATCTTTTCATCCCATTTTTCTCTGTGAATCATGCTAACCTTTACTACAAGTGGCAAACCCGCTGTATCTCAATCTCGTGATACTGCTCATGATTCAGGAATACTGATTTTGCCAATTTAGACTTGCACAGAGCCTCATTGAGCAATTTGACTTACATATTCTGGGCAGTCTGCCTCAGTTAACTGACATCCAGGGCCAGGACAAGATCATCCATCTAAGTGATGGTCTCTCCATGAGCTGTGCACCTTTGTGGTTCTTTGCTAAAGTACCACGTGCCAGAGGCAGAGCCTGAACCGATACAAAGCACGTGAGCCAAATGACTTGTCAGATTTTAAATATCACGATTCCTGTGTTGTAGAGAACCTTGTGATTGCATTATTGCAGTTAAAAAAAAGCCCCCAAAACAGTTTGCAGAAGGCTTCTGGCTTCTAAGGAAAGCTTAGTTGTGTTCATTTCTAAGTATGAAATGCTAAATGTGCTCTATTTGTATATTTCTTATTATTTTTTCTTTATTATCAGTATAGAGCAAGGGGTTTCAGTGGTAAGCAGAAAGCTTTAAAGGAAGAGAGCATCGTAATTGCAATTTCACAAGGGACCGTCCTAGTGCCTTCACCAGAAACTGAATATTAAAAGGGATTTTTTTAATGAAGAACTTCACAAAGAAGATAGTTTTTTATCCTTAGGTGAGTTCGTTACTCTGGAAGTTGCTGTTGTTACGAATGTATTGTTATTAATTCTGACTGGATTAAGCATTAATAACAACTAGGATAAGATGTGTCCCCCAAATCGTATTTATTTCTGTATCTGAGCAGATGCTCTGGCTTAAAGGCTTGGCTTGCTAATGCCATCTTTGTCTTTATAAATTACAGGGAGTTAAAGGTGGAGCCTGCTGCTACCTGAGTCTGTTTCCTTGATCCAGTGGCTGTGGTGTTAAATACTCCAGAAAGCCCGAACTGTTGTGACAGGCACTGTAAAGCAGGCTGGGTATGTAGGGAGCCCTTCCACTGTCTGAGGAAACTAACATGAACAAAGCAAAGACAGTATTTATTTAAAAAAGTAAATCATATCCTGATTGCTATGAAATGAGCTGGCATCTTCTGTAGTGCATCTGTATCGATGGGGACTCTGGATGCCTATACAGGATAGGAAGGAGCAGTCTAATGACTAAGTAATGCCTGGCAGTAGTCGAGATGATGACGGTTCCCTGTGAGATGTATGTTGACACTCAATTAAGTTCACGAGTGATCACATTGATACCCACCACTGCAGTCCTTGGCAGCTGGCTGAGACACAAAGGTTAACTTGCCAAATATTAACTAGTCTCTAAGGGTGAAACATGTTCTCTTCACATAAAAGTAAATGAGCTGTGTGGGGGCTGGGGAAAATGTGTAGCTGGACAGTTCTACCTGTGAAGCTTATTGTGTTTTGGACATCAAAACCATGAATGGGTTTAAAAAACTCCCATGCCAACTTATAGAAAAGTGTCCGGTGAGATTTATTGAAGCACAGTGATACAAATGTCTTTGTCATACCAAGCCCAAGATTTCTGTTTCCTGAAAGTTAGGAGGCTTTGTCAGGGAAAAAGCTATTTTCTAGTGGTCTTGCCTCTTACTCACCTTTTGTAAAACATTCTCTACAGACTAATGCTGCAGACAGACCCCATCTGCCCATTTTTATTTTTAACACACTTAGGTATAGACCTAAACTTCTAAGCAGTGAAGCAACTGCACTTGACATTCTGCTCATACAGCTTGCTTGAAGTCCCGTACAGGTTTTTACATCACACACTTTATTTACATTATTTATATTTATTCTAACGTTATAATTCTTGCTTATTCTATTGTTATAGAAAATGACATTGTTTAGACAAAAGAATTTTTACTCTGACTTTTGAACAATTTCAAAAGCAAGAGTAGTTCTGCTTTGGATATCCCAGTGATACAGCTTGTTCGTATTTGATTATACGCAGGCTGTCCAAAATGATATTCAGGCAATGTATTATTCACAACAGTAACAAGTAAAATATTGGTCTCTTATCCTCTATTCTGTATCAGTATGTTTTTCCCGTGTACCACGATCAATGAATTACAGACACAGGGCATCCTGGTCAGTGACATTACGTCAGATATGTCAAAGCTACACTTGCGATGTTGTTCCTTTGAAGACTTGCCTAGCTAGCTGCTGGGATAGGTTTTGTTGTAACATTGGTTTTGTCACAGTTTGTGTTTTGAACATTGATGTTGGGGTCGTTCATGCCTGAGACAGTGGAGATCTGGTTGGCTTTGCCGAGGTTCTTGATGATATTGATGTTGTATTTGGCAGTTTCCACAAAGCTGTTTTCTAGTAACCAACCATCTGACTCACCCTCCAAATCTCCTAGCAGGAGGACATTCCTCATTGCTGTTTGTAGGTACCGGACACCAATAAGGACAGAGAGCTGTAAGAAACAGTTAATAGTTAAACAAGAGTTTAAATTACAGCCTCAATCCTACCACTAAGTCAGCTGACTTGTGTATTTACAGGCTTAATAAATAATACTGAATAAAGCAGACAAATTCCTTACCCCAGCAGTATATCAAACCACTCTCCCAATTAACTGCATTTTTGTAGAAAGAAAAATACCAGGGAGAGAGTGATTGATTCTTTTTTTGTCTCCATTAATCAGGTATCATTCCCACTTGGATGTTATTGGCACATCAATACCCAGAATTACTCAGGAACACTGCAGCCTCAGAGACTATAACTAATTGCTGTAGAATGGATGATCAATTAATGGAACTATCAGTCACCATGGGGAAAAAAAAGAATAGATTGTAGTGTGTTAATTTCAGTGGATTTCTTTTTTTCCACTGACCTTGATTAAATCAGTATTTCCTCCAAGGAGTCCATTCATGTGGAAGCCAGATGTGTTCTACATGCCAACGCACTGAAATTAAGAAGGATTGCCTATAGCAGAGGCTCAAATATAAATATAGGAAAAAGCCCCACTTCCATAGTTCTCCGGAAATTGAGATCATGGTGCCCGTGTGTCAATGTTTAAGAGAGCGGAGAGAGCCAGCTCCCAGCTTTCTCAAGGTGCTGCCAAAGGCCTGTTGTTTCTGGCACCACAACCACATCCAGCACTGCTGGAGGACTGTTGGGAACTATTTTAATTACAGTGCTAATATTCATGCAATACAGCAATAATCAGAAAATGAAAACTTGCTAAAAAGGGAAGAAACCCATATTTTAGCCTATGCTATCGTGGAGTCCTTTACCTGTGGATGACAACATTCAGTTTACAGCCAGTAGAAAGAGTGCATCTTCACAGGTGTATGTGCTTGCCTGTGAATGCTTATTTTGATTGTATAATAAGCAGTCTAATCTACATCTAAAAAGGTATGCCATATTCGCAAGTACTGGCCATGGGATGAAGTTATGGAATGCAAAAAGGAGTCTTTGAGATAGTAGTACCTATGCTGAATTTTTCCTATGAAGTTAATGTATTTGGCTGAAGACCTGTTCATGTTTTTTATATTCTTTTTAAAACTGACTTAAAACAGTCTTCAGACCTCATTTCTGTGCAGTTGTCACTGCATGCATCATCCTGTAATTGATCCAATAAATGCTTCAGGGAAGGGAATATGCCATAGTCTACTAAAAAAGCTCTGCAAACATGCAGGATTATATACACCATTTCTAATAGTTCTTATCTTCCGTGAGATTTGCTTCTGTGCTGGGAAGTTGTCTTCACTGAAGGAAATCCTGCAACATTGTTGAAGTGCATTTGGATTTTCTATTGGATACTGAGGCACTCTTCATATGTTACACTCTAGTTATTTGTAGTTATTATGTAGTTAGAGTAGGAAGACTCTGATTAATCTGAGGAGTGTTTTTATGAGGCTTACCTCAAACAACCAAATAAGTAGTGCTGTAATACCAATGGATCTCATAATGACCGTGTAGTACTCCAGCAGGGCCTCTCTGCACCCCGTCACCCAGATATTGAGCTCCTCTGTCAGAAAGTCGTAGTTGTAGTGAGCGCTGTTGTTAGTCAGCTGGTACTGGATACAGGGCCGTGGGGAGCTTGGGTTGCAGCAGCTGAAGGGTACTCCATCCACCAAGAACTTCCCATCAACGTTGCTCTTCAGGCGGCTGCAGCGGGACAGAAAGTTTGGGCATTACAAATCTGTTAGCAGCAAACAGTGTCTGTGATCTTTAATAAAGGCTATAATGCAAATATGCTGCAATGTAGGCATCTCCAATGTAACAACAGGCAAATGGGAATATCTTTCCAACTGGAAAAGTTGTTTACTGCAGGAAAACTGTATTTTTCCTTTCCTGTGTTTCTGAGATGTGGTATCAGCACAGTATTTCACATGGTTCTCAGTACTGTGCATGCAAGATATGTGTTCAGCTTTCGGGGGGGGGGTGTGTGTGTGTGTGTGTGTCACCTTTTTGGGTATATTTGTGATGAAAATACTCAAGACAGTTTCTGAACTTGTTTATCTTGGTAGAACTCTAGTGGAAGTTTTGGCCCCAGAAATCCTGTTTCACCACTTCTGGATTGATTTTCAGCACAAGCATTCCTTAAGAGAGAGCCTAACACAAGAACAACTTTACATGCCACAGGAATGGCTGGAAATTGTCCACTGGCATTTATTTCACCATTGTAGCCACACGCAATGGCTGGTTCAACACCTGTCTTGAGACTCACAAGGGAGTTTCTACTTCTTATAACTATGCTTTCTGTAACTTTTGAAACTGTTCATGTTTATTGCTAGAAATGATTCCTTCCCTTTCCCTACAAGATCAGGAGAGAAACAAGTGGGAAAGAAGAAAGATAAAGAAATCGGAGAGAGAACAAAAGAATCATATGCTGGAAAGAGAACTGAGTCTCAGATTAATCAAGAGTTTCTGGAACAGTTAAATGAATCCTTGACATCCACTTTCCTTGTATTATCTGCTCTTATGCTAGTGGGCCCTTGTGAGGACTTCTATTCTCAGAAGGCTCTTAAGAGAAATAGATTTTCCATATCATGGAGAGTATCTAATACATTGAGAGATGCTCTCACACTTTGGGGAAGTAGCCTTTAAGCATGTATCTATTATCATGCTCATCACAGATGTCTTATTTCCTGAGGTAGCCCCACAGGTGAGAATCTGTTTTAATGAACACCATGCACTTTAGCCTTTGTTAGGGAGCCAGAATACATGAAAGAACTTTCTCTGAGAGATCCAGCTTTCAGCACTTGCTAATAGTAGAACTTTTAAGATTTTCCAAAACTTTTCCTCATTTATCAGCATTCACAGATCATATTTCCTGCTCCACTGCAGATGATCTAAATTAAATGGGAAGAAGTCGTCTCAAGAAGCTCGTCAGGTGAACAGAAAGCAGAAACACTGTGGTTCAGTGCTCATCCAGCATTTTGGGACTAAATGTATCCTTCATGAAACATAAGGTGCTAGGAAGTTCAGTAGCTGTGGCTGGGCTGGGGTAGCAGAATAACTGCCTTCATTTTATTGCTGTGGCCCTGCTAAATACAACCTCCAGCCTTTGTTTTTCCCTTTCTCTTTTTTGGGGGGTGGTGTGTTTTGTTTAACATTGTGTCAAAAATACCTTCCTGAAAGATCTTTCTAAGTCAGAAAGTTCATCTTTGATTTTTCCCACCTAGGAGTGGCTTAGGTGTGAACTCTTCTCCATCTCAAAGTGTAGGTCTTCACTTTGTGGCCATCATATTCCTGGTAATGGCAACAGAATGAAACCAACGCAAAAGAACTGAAATAATGCATTGAAACCGGACTTAAGTGTGCAAGTTGTGTAAGAGGCAGAGGAAAAACCACTCACTGGGAGGGAAGCAAGAATGGGAGCCAAAGAAGTACAAACAGGAATGCTCAAATGTGAGAGGAGAAAAGAAACCTCACAGAGGCAGGAGAGGAAGGCCGGTACACTGTGAAAGGGAAGCTTTTCCCTGGGCCAGCAGAACGCCCTGCATATTTCAGTGACATGATCCACATACCGCACGGCATCTGAAGTGGTTAAAATGTGATCTCTTACACCGGCTTTTAAGCTTTTCTTTGATCCCAATCACCAATTATTTTTTTTTGCTTCCTGTCACATGTTACAAGGAGGAATCTTCTTCCTACTGATAACATTTGCAATTTCCAGACTTGAGTGATGTCTCCCTGCCATTATGTTTCCTCTTACTAGTGGCAATTAAGGGATGACGTATCTTGGTACTGTTAGAAGGGAAGACCTCAGTAGCAGAGCTGAGAGAGTAAGACACTCGCTGCTATTTGTTGTTGCAATGCAAATTCATTACAGTACTGCAAAGCAAAACTTGCTTTTGAGACTCTGAAAAGGTGATTTTTACCCAACCAATGATAGGACTATACTGCTGTAGCCTGCCTCATCCTCCTGCTTCCCACTGACTCCCCATTTCTTGTCACATCGTGGTGTTGACTATGGAGATGCAGAAGAGAGGGGAGGGAAGAGGATTATGAAGGAAGGTGAAAAGTTCAGTTCATCTGGCAGCATGTCAGCTCTCACATGCTTTGCCTCTTAATCTACCAAGTACTAACTGACGTACAGTGCAAGATAAATCCAAGGAAAATGTTTGGTTCCTTCTCCATCCTTTCTGAACCAGCTGGACTCTGCTTCCAATGATTTCCTATCAAATGATCCACTATTAAATTTTTTGGAAGTTGCTGTATAATTTGGTTACACAGCACCAGCTTGCATTCCTGCATTAAGACGTTCCATCTCAATCAAGATGGGGTTAACCCAATTCACATGCAGTAAAAGAAATTCTGCAGTGCAGTTACTTCTCTCACACATTTCATTGGCATCTTCTCCCTACATGGAACAAAAATTAACCTAACAGTGTATTTTCTAAGTAAGGGCATAGCACAGGTGAACCTGCAGAGGAAAACAGAGCTTGGCTAAGACCCTGGGTAAAACATTACTGTTTTGGCTTGTCTCAAAAATAGAAGGCTGTATATTTTACTTCTGACAATAAGATACTATTCTTAAGTTCCTGTGGACCATCTTTGTTGTCATGTCGCTTTTCAGTGTAGGACCAGGATTTAAATCACCTCTTAGGTCTGTCTGCTTTGTGTCACTGCTGCTTTCCAACTTCTCTCTCAAGAACACTTGTTCTACAGCTTGCTTTATTTCCATGGCCAACTGCCTTACTCATGTTGATGCCCTCTTGGCTATATTCTCCTAGGCCCTGTCCTCCGAAATGTTTGCAGCTCTGTATATATGCTTTGCTTTGATGGTAGTTTCCAGTTGCAAATGCTGTGAAGGTGAGATCTTTGGCCTCTCTTCCTTTGGCTTTACTGACACCAACAAAACAGGATACTTGACAAATGCCAGTCAAGCTTTTTGTGTTTGTCTTTCCCAAGAACATACGTAGCTACTACACTGTCATCAGTGAACACTTATTTTCAGCTTTAGAAAAATGATTATATACTGGATTGCCTACTTTAGTATTTACAAATATTGTTAAGTTTTCTATTTATTGTAAGAATAACCAGACTCTTCTTTTTGGCCATATAATTTCACAATTGCTACATCATGTGAAAAACCACTCCCTTCCTGCCCGAAAAATGCAAGGGTTTTTCTCCTCCTTTTTTATGCCATGTACCTGTTGTTGGCAGTTTCTCATATGTGAACATATAGAACTGAAACTAGATTTGCAGCCTAGTATCTTGAAGGAGGATCTTTCAGTGTTTAGGATTGACTGTGCAATGTACTGATGGTAGAACTTTTTTCTTTCCAGTATCAGCTCACTATAATGGAAATTTTGAGGTAGCTAATCCGCCACATTAAAAAAGGAAAGATAAATCCTTGCTTTGCTTAGCATCCCTTTTGCTAAAAAGTCAGCAAAAGGCAAGTTCTGATTGTGCACGTAGGTAGCATATATTGTGAGCAACGTGGTCATTCTTTCTGATTAAGAGACAAAGGTCCAGTCAAAACTACTATCTGCCTTCTTGAATGAGGTTTTTTGCCTAGATTTCTTTCGTTATGACTAGTAAATACTTACTCCAGAACTTCCTTGGAAGCCATATTCAGGTAACGATGAGATACCCACTGAATTTCAAACCAGTCTCTAAAGCCATTGTTTCCACAGCACTGGAAACCAATTTGTAACATATCCACTGTTTTCTTTAAGAAACATCGTCCAGGTATGTCTGTGTCCTTATAGAACTTAATAGCATCCCTCAGTCCCAGATAGAGAGACTCTTCCAGCTCGTTCCTCATGGTATAGCACATGAGAGCACCCACCAGGATGCAGAAGGTAAAACAGAAGGTGCACACGATGTAAGGGAGCATAACTAGTTTCCATCGAGAGAACTTGTTGGTATCTGAGCAGTCATAGCAGATTTTGCCACCCAGGAAGTTGATGATACATGCTATGACCCCTACAGAGATCAGCATGTTGGGGACAGAGTTAACATCCCCTTTTGCCATCACTTCGTTGCGCTTCTTGATCTCTATTTTCAGAAAGAGGCCAAGACTGAAGAGAATGATCCCGCTCACTACAGAAACCCAGTTGAGGATCCATAAGATCTGAGCCAATTTGTCCCTCTTAGTTTTGGTGAATTTTACTTTGAGGACAGCCATAGTCGGATCAGAGTTAGGAAATAAAGCGTAGGTCAAGGAAAGCTTGTAAGCTGATTAGAAACATCTATCCAAGGCATGCAGCAGAAATCTGAAGGGGAGAGAGAGAGAGAGAGATTACTGTCTGTTTGACCAGGTATTTATAGAGGCTACAGGAAACTTCCTGTACAGCCTCACACGCTCTGAGCCCTGCCAAGGGAGTCCCCCAGTGACATTTATAGCTTGAATTTCAGCTGTAACAGTTGTTTTTCTTCCTAGTAGCTGATGCAGTGCTGTTTCCTTTAATAACTTTCCCATGTGATCTGCAGATTCTTATTTTTCTCTTCAAAGGTCACAATGATGGGCATAAAATACATTCAGAGAGGAACCCCCCTGAGTTTCAAATCAGTATTTCAGTTTCACAGCTGAAGGAGGACTTCGGTGTTCCAAGGTCTATCTTGTTTTCCCTAGCTATTAGTGGATCTAAGGAAAGATACCATCTTCCCCAGCACTTTTAACCTTGCTTCTCTGCAACACTACTAATGTTGTGTAACTTCTCCTTTGCATCTCTCCAGTTGTATCACAATCACAGGCAGAAAGCAGCTAATAGCATCCAAGATCTAAAACCTGTTGGAGCTGGAGACAATGTGTTCGAGTGTATGCGATGTGCATGTAGAACAATGCTGCAGTACCTCAGGATCAAGCAATGATCTTTTTACCTGTCTTCAATGCTTCTGATGCTTTGCGATTGCCTTTCCTCATTTATATGTTTATAGAGTCATCTAATTCCACTAATACAATGGCATTTATTGAGTGTAAAACATAATCCTATAAATTTGGGGAAATACAGAAGTATAAGCAGCATTATTCTTGTATAATATTTTTTAAGCTAGTGGATGCTACTACTTCACTCTGAATAAAACTGGTATTGGCTAAACCAGCATGAAAACCATCAGCAGACTAGCTGTACAGACTTAGGGCTACACCTACCCACTAAAGGATCCACAGCTGCAACAAAGTTTAACCTGGGGTAATCAGATTGTTGTAGACTACAATTAAAAAAGGTAATGGCATCCCAGCATCTTCATCTGTGCATGTTGGCAGGAGTCAGTTCTGTTTTAGAGGCAAGGAACAGGTTGTTCCATTCATATCAGGATATGGTTAGACATCTTCATGCATTTCAATATAAAAACATTTTAATGCCTGAGAGATCTACTTAATTTTTATTGATTTATTTTCTCCTGCTCTTATAGAGGAAACTACTTCCCCTCAAAACTATTAATTTTTATATATTTTGTACAATACAGAGAAAGTGTGAAAAATGCACAGTATTTTTCTTATTTCCAAAGGTGTTGAGGCCAGCAGTTCTCTGACTTTAAAAACAGGGTGCTGGTTTTAATGATTGTTAAGGCTGATTATCCATTGTGGCTGAATACTGATTCTGATCATACTGTTATAAGCATATCAGTTGTAATTATGAAATACTGATTACTGATAGACACCTCTGTACAAACAAGCTCAGACAACAGTCATTCATAAAATGACAACAGTTTGCTCACACTGATCTTCTACAATATTCTTCAGACCTCATTCAGAAAGATCATGCTCTGCTGGCACAGAATTAAGCCTCCATATGCATTCAGCTGACAGCCTAAGCCTGGAAACAGTATCTTTGATGGCTTCACCAGCTAAGCAGTTCATGACTTGAACTTAAATAGCTGTAGATGGCTGCTGCAAATAGGTTTATTTGCCCGATACTCAGGTCTCAGAGCTCACAATAGAGAGAATCTGTTGTGAAATCCCCTAGCTGCTGATACGCAACTCATGTTCAATGGCCAGTGTATATGAATGCATCACTCCCTGTTCATTACTACGAAAAACACTTGTGTATTTACACAGTGCCTCTGAAATGTTAGGCACATGTGTAATTACAGTGTCACTGAGAACACCCTGCTTGCCAAACATTGCTTTAATGTTTGAATAAAAGTTGTAAACAGTTGTACCTTTATTTAAAAATCTATCACTCAAGAAGCATTGTTGATTTTGGACGACTTTGTCATATTCGATCCATAAAGAAACTTGAAGCTGAATTCCATAAGCAGGGGTACATTCCATCTCATACAGCTATTCTGACAGAGCTCCCTCACCCATTTTTAGATGCCTGAAGTTAAAATAATGAAAAATTTCTGTGCAAAAGCAACTCTCCTCGTAAGTAAGTCCTTGTCTCCAGTAGTTCTCATCTGGTATTTCCAGCTTCCTCAGTGCAATTTCAATATTGTTGTAGGACCAAATTTCATGGAATATTCACATGTATCTAACAGAGGTACTACAGTCCTCTAGTGCAGTAAGACCTGCTCTTTCATATGAGCTGTACTGCCAGAGGAGAAGGGGGGAAATGACTGGTTGTTGTAGTGCAGTGATCACATGATGACTGACCCTGTCTGTCACAGATACACCTGGGATTGCACAAAGATACACTGTGCTTCTCATGAAACTTTGAGTGCATTGAGTTTGGGACAGAAGAACAACTTACCTACTCTGTTCCTGCATTCCCAGCTTCTGTGTGGATACTTCTCTTTGAATCATTTTTTCCTATTATTTACTGAATTTATTTTAGATAACGAGATGACTCTCTTCCCATCGTGATGAGTTTTGTACATTGTTCTTTCCCTAACTCTTCAATGAAGTATTGAACATATTTATTAGCATAAGATGTATTGGAATTCACTTTTTTTTTGTTATCATAACGAAGACATTTCTTCCAGCTGAAAGAACTGAGGTGCAGTTATGAGTTAGAACTGTTATTGTCTTGTTCTGCAATATGCATCTGTTCTTCTCCAAGTTACATCTGGCAGTGGGCTACTGTAAAACCACCAATGCTCCCAGTAGTTCAATGGAACTAACACCTTTATCAAAGTTCTTTGAAACACACCATGCCATTGCACATGAGGCACTCCAGACGTATGAAGCACATACACACAGACATTTTTATCCCAGCTATGGGAGAACAAGTGAATTTATTCTATAAAGGGAGAAATACTTCTTTCAACAGAGGAACCCAAATAAATGTGGACATCACTCCCATATTATCAGTACTGTTCTCAAGTTTTCCTTGTCTAACTCACTTCAAAGACAGCTTCCATCAGCATATGGCAAGTAGCTTTTTGCTTCCAAGATGCCACATACCTATTCCTTTGGTATCAATTTCCCCCAACTATATAGAACAAGACACAGCACAGCTATTCAGTTTTACATAACACTTACTTATTAGATGCAAATTTTCCACAGAAATTTGGTTTGCAATTCTATCATAAAGAAACCCATCTTATGTTACCGATTTCACTAAAATCCACCAGTTTTGCTAAACACACATTCCTATGTGTAAAAGAAACCACTAACCTGCTTCAGAGGATTGAACGGGATCTTGAAACTGGCAACTTGCTGAGTACAGTGGAGAAAATACCTGGATCAGGCATCCTGAGGAAGACCAAAGTACTGATTTCCTGAGATCTGTGTAGTTCTTCTGTCCCAGCAGAGATGAAGAAAGAGACTTCAGGTCTCCTGCCTGTGCTAATCTCTCATCTCTAATCGTAGCTAAGAGATTTATTTCAAGGTTCTTATGCCACCAGGTTAAGTCCTGCAAAACAGGCCAATTAGCTGAGCGTGAGCTGAGATCTCACCAACAAAATGCATTTATAGTAACTTCTTTTACCTTCTTGCACCCCAGAAGTTTTGGCTACCAAGCAACAGACTGTTCTTCAGTAACTGCTAATGCCTTCATTAGTTCTTAACTTGCTCTTAACAATAAGTGTGGGAAACTTTGTGCTTCTGTCTGAAGAGAAAAATCTGTCTTGGCAATCATCGTTTACACTTGCTATTATGTGCCTTGCCCATCATTCCATATTTTTTGGATGGAATTGTCTGTTCTCTGTACTGATTCTGACTCTGTCCAAGAAAGGAATTCAAGTTACCGACAGCAATTGGATCATCCTGTACTACTCACAGTAGATTCTAGTTTGGGAAGCTTTCCAGGTTCAAGAATAATCTAGTAGAAACCTCTGTCCTGGGCTCTTAAAAGCTTTATCTCAAGCCAGAACCAAAAGCATCTTGTCCTCTGGCATTTCTGAGCCCAGCCTGTACTAACATGTGGGATGCACATTGCTGGGTTGAACTGACAATAGTAATAGCAACAAGCTGAGTGTGCAGCAATTCTCGATCAAGTTAGTGGTGATCTTGGTGCCAGAACTGAATCACTCAGCAGGACCAGGGTTTGTCTATAGGGTTCATAATGCATCAGAGTTCAGTGAGCACATGACTGACTGCGAGGGACTCTGTACCAGGGATAGCAGTGAATGTGAATTTTCTCAGCTAAATAGTCCTCTCCCAGATAATGATGAGCAATAAACCTGTACCATGATATTATTGTGATTCTAACTCTGTATTCTGGGAATATGCGTCCCTACCCTGTTTAAAGTCTCATGCTTCTGCAAATACAGACACCCCTCTGCATGCATCAGTATTACCACACTTGGGAAAGGTAAAAGATAAGTTATCACTGCAATTCAGTCTATCAAAGTCTTGGATAAAGCAGAGGCTGGAATATCTAACTCCAATATCCTAAGAATTAAAAACAAACAGGACTTGTTCACTTGCCAGAAGTCATTCCATGCATTACTGCATGGAAAAGGAAGGATCATAACTGCCAGTGTCACTCTGTACCTCCATGGGGTGAAAAACCCCAAGGACATGTCCCAGCAGGATAATCATACAGTGAAACGCTCTCTCTTTTCATTTTTTCTGATAGAATCAAACTCATAACTAATGGTTATGCTGAAAGCTCCATCCAACAATGCATTGCCTAATACCCTATGGCAAACTTTCACAGAGCTGCTTCCTTGATGTGTGGCACATCCCTGGAACCATGCAGGCTCCATGTGCCCTTTGTGGGTGTCCTGGGTTCAGCAGTAGCAGTCATTTTTCTCCTTGGTAGCTGGTGCAGTGCTGTGTTTTGACTTTTGGCCTGCT